ATGTATTAAATAATTTTAAATTTTAATAACCATTTGGAAGATATTTTCTGATTAGAAAATATTTGTCTAATAGTTCTGAATAACAAGTTATTTTGTCTCTTTCACATCAGACTTGATTTTTATAAAGAATAAAACCATGGCCGTATTAAAGTTACAACATAAAAATGTGTCTTTAATGCTAAAGAAGGCACATCAGCTTCTATGAAAAAAAATCTTTTCCTTGTAAGTCTAACAAGTAGGAAGCAGAAGTAGCATCCTAAATAACATGCTAACTTCCTAAACAACAGGCCTCTGGAAACTCTATGAACTCTGATAAGTGTCAATAGTTATAGAAAGGCTTCAGGCTTCTTGTTCATAGGGTCACTGTGAGTCGTGCTTGACTCAGTGGCAATCAACATTTATAACAAGAGCTTTCTGTTGCTTCTCATCTGTTTTGCAAAAGCAAAAGGAGTAATCATATTTTAATGATACAGAATGACATGGAGGAACGTGGATAGTTATGGGGTAGTGATAGAGCCCAGAATGGAAGTCAGTTAAAATCAGGAAAAATAATGGTAAACATTCCTTAATAATTGGAACATGGAATGGATGCAGCTTGAATGCTGGAAAACTAGAAATCATGAATAATGAAATGGAATGCATGAACATGGACATATTAGCATTAGAGAGATGAGATGGACCAGCTCTGACCACTAGGAATCAGATAATCACATGGTATTCTCCACTGGGAATGAAATGCAGAAGAGTGGTGCTGCATTCATAGTCAAAAGTCAACATCAAGGTCTATAATATTCAGACACATTCAAGGAATATAACAATTATTCAAATACATGCTCCTACATCTGGAGCCAAAGAGTAAGAAACTGAAAATGTTTACCAAATTTTGCAGTCCAAAGTTAACCAAACATGCAATTAAGATATATTACATGTTAACTGGTGAGTGGAATACAAAAGTGGGAATCAGTGAAGAAGGAACGGTAGTTGGAAAATATGGTACTTGGTGAACAGGAAAGAGGCTGGAAACAGAATGATCAAATTTGGTATTTTCAATGATTTGTTCACTGTAAAGACTTTTTAAAAATGATATAAACGGCAACTTTACATATGGACCTCACCTGATGGGCTTGCATAGGAATCAGACTGACTACATCTCTGGAAGTAACCGTTGGAAAAAGCTCAGTATCGGCAGGCAAGACCATGCCAAGAGTGGACTGTGGGTCAGATCACTCAAGTGCAAGTTTAAATTGAGATGGATTGATTCAGTGATTGGGGTAACAGGGACAGGTGTGTAAGAGACAATAAGAATGCCAAAGGATAGAAACGGGTTTAGGACTATTGTACAAAGGGCAGCTGTAAGTCACAAGTGACTTGACGGCACGTAACAACAAGTATAAATTGAGGCCAAAGAAATTTAAAACAGTTCTATGAAAACCAAAATATAATCTTGAGTCTATTCCATCTAAATTTCAAAATCATCTAAAGAATAGTTGTGAAGCCCTGAACACCAATGATCTAAGACCAGATGAGTTATGGGATGACATCAACAATATCATCCATGAAGAAAGCAAAAGGTCATTACAAACACAGAGGAGAAAGAAAAAAACTCAAAATGGCTATCAAGAGAGACTCTGATTGCACAGGAGGGTTGAAAAGCCAAAATAAAGGGAAAACATACCAAAGTAAAAGAGCTGAACAGATTTCAAAGGGTAGCTAGAGAAGACAAGTATTATAATGGAACGTGCAGAGAGCTCAAATTGGAGAATGAAAAGGGAAGAATTTGCTCCGCATTTCTCAAGCTGAGAGAACAAGTCATAATATTAAAAAATGCTATGATCAATATGTTGAAGGACCCAAAAAGCATAAAAAAAAAGATGGCGGGAGTACACAGAACCACTGAAGCAAAAAGAACTGACTGACTTTGAGAAACTTCAAGAGTACCCCATGAACAAGAGCCAACTGTAATGAAAGAGAAGTGAAAACTGCATTAAAGGCATTGCAAAAAACAAGGCCCCAGGAATCAACGGAATAGCAATTGACTTGTCTCAATTAACAGATGCATCCTTGGATGCACTCACAAGTCTATGCCAGAAAATTTGGAGGACTGCTGTCTGGCGAATAGATTGGAAGAGGCTCATATTTGTTCCTATTCCCAAGAAAGGTGAGCCAACTGAATGTGGAAACTATTGAACAATATCATTCATCTCACATGCAAGCAAAATACTGCTGAAGATCATTAAAAAATGGTCAGATTACATAGATAGGAAACTGCTAAAAGTTCAAGCAAGATTTAGAAGGGGCCATGGCACCAGGGATATCACTGCTGTTGTCAGCTGGATACTGACTGAAAGTAAAGAACATCAGAAGAATGTCTATTTAATCTTTATTGACTATGCAAAGGCATATGAGTATGTGGATCAAAATAAGTTATGGTTAACAATGAGAAGAATGGGAGCCCCTATGTACTTAACTATGCTCACGCGAAACTTATACCTGGACCAGAAGAAAGTGTGTCAGGTTTGTATTTTCTCTCCATACTTATTCAATCTGTATGCTGAGAAAATTATTTGAGGTGAACTCTGAAGAAGAATGTGGCATCAAGACAGAAGGAAGACTCCTCAATAACCTGCATTACACAGATGACACTACCTTGCGTGCTAAAAGTGAGGACTTGGAAGCACTTGTTGCAGAAGATCAAGGAATACAGCTTTCAATATGGACTGCATCTCAACATTAAGAAAACAAAAATTCTTACCAATGGACTGATAGGCAACATCATGATAGACCAAGAACAGATTGAAACTGTCAACAACTTCATGTTACTTGGATCCATAATCAACATCCTTGGTACCAGCAGTCAGGATATGAGGAGACGTATTGTATTAAGACAGCCTGCCCTTAGGGATCTCTCCAAATTATTGAGGAATAATGATGTCAGTTTGAGGATTAAGGTGTATCTGAATCCTATGTGATCTTTCCGATAATTTGCTACGCATGAGAGCTGGACAATGAATGAGGATGACAGAAGAACTGATGCCTTTGAGCTGCGGTGCTGGAGAAGAACACTGAACATGGACTGTCAAAAGAACAAACAAATATGTCTTGGAGAAAGTGAAGCCAGAGCTCTTTGGAGGAAAAGATGATAAAAGTTTTGGCTCACATACTTTGGACATGTTGCTGGGAGTGGGGGCTACTCCTTGGAGAGGGTCATGGTGCTCAGAAAGACAGAGAGGGTTGATGAAGGAGATGACGACCTTTGACCAGGTGGACTGACACAGTGACTGTCCCAAAGGGCTCTTGTGTGTCAGGAAGTGTAAAGATGGCACAGGCTAGGACACGGTTCAGACCTGTTTTTCCTTGGGTTGCTGTGAGTTGTACTTGACTCAACGGCACCTAACAACAGCAATCCTTGGAGGTGAGGACGGTGAAGCTTCACCTCACATAACTCTGGGCATGTTGTCAGGAGGGGCCAGTCCTTGAAAGAGGACTTGATGCTAGGAAGAGTGAAGGGGCAGAAAAAGAAAGGAGGCTCTTCAACAAGATGGACTAGTATAGTGAGCACAGTAAGGACCTGCAGTGTGGCAGAGAGGGTGAGAACGGCCAGGACAGGGCCAGGTCAGACCTGCTGTTCAAGGCTGCTATGAGCTATAGTGTGTGTGATGGCACCTACCCACAACAAAACCAGACAGTCAAGGTCCTCCTCCACCAGGACATGACTACAAATAGCTCTCAGGGCTAAAAGGAGAGTGGCTGAGACCAAGGCCAGAGAGCCTGATTTCTCAGCAGAAAGCACAGAGTAAGGAACGAAATGACCCATCCAGAAGAAACCACCTCATCCTACAAACGTGCAGACACACACATGCCTGAGGCAGCTCGTAGTGGAGAGTTGGGACATTCTGGGATGTCCACAGGGAGCAGGACTCAGGAACATACGACTTCTGACTGTGCCAGAGAGAAGACAACAGAACCAGTGAGCCAGCACGAGTGCTGTAGGGGCCGGACGGGCACCCAGCTTGGGAAAGCACTGAAGCCAAAGCCACAGGCCGAGGACGACGGCCAACAGGGAGCACTAGTGTCCATGACGCCTTGTCCTGAAGTAAGTTCAACGGCAGCAAGGAGGGATCGAACCCGTACAGCGTGGACACTGACAGTCAAGGACAGGATGGAAACTGTATGTCCGTCAGGACAGGGACAGGGCATAGGGCTGGGGGCAAGACAGCAGGTGGTATGGGTGTCTAAGGGGCACAGTATGCTGGGGCTAGAGGGCTACAGGCCTAGGTGGTGCCTAGTGAGGAGGTCACACAGGCAAGTGGAGGGTGTAAACTGTTAGCCACAGAACAGGCTCAGCTCACCGTCTTTGGCCAGGGTGGCGAGGGCCCCTTTAGCCTTTGGCCGGCTGCTCTCCAGCTCAATCTCGATGGCATCCTGGTAGCTGGAGATCTCACCTGAGTGAGAAAGTGGCAATAAGCAGGAAGCCCCTTTTTAGAGAACCGGAACAGAATGCTCAGTGGTGAGCCCGATACTACCTTCCACTTCTTCCAGTTGCTTGGAGAGAACCTGCTCCAGCTGCAAGAGAGGGGGAAGCGGTCAGGTGTGGCCTGCAGAGTTGGATAGGCCACTCCATGGACACCAGGAGCAGAAGTTTGAGACCTCTAGGTGCAAGAGAGGGGCCAGGTTATGAAAGGGAAGGAGGAACATGATGTGGGGGAAGGCAGCAGAGGCCTAGGCCCTCAGGAGCCAGGAGGCCTCAGAGAGGCAGGCAGCCCACGAGAGGGTGCCGATAGTGCTGGGGGATAGGCTAGATGAGGAGCTCCCACTGCTTCAAACCCTCTCAGCGCCATGGAAGGTCATACCGCCCTTCCGCAGAACACGGAGCCTTTTCAGACATCTCAGAATAGAAATGAACTGCAGTATCTCCCAGGTAGGGGCGAGGCTATGTCCCAGGCTGGGTGTGCCATGGGGGCTGCGCCAGTCTATGTCTCAGACTAAGTGTGCCAGATAGATGTGCATGTCCCAAGCTGGGTGTAACAGACAGGGGGCCAAGAGGAGTATATGTCCCACGCTGGGTGTGTCAGGTGGAAAGGGTGTCCCAGGCTGGATGTACTGGACAGGGGGATGCTTCCTGCCCAGGGCATCATTTAGTCAGCGTGAGCAGCCTCGTTGGAGGCTGTGGGAGACAGTGAGCCACCACTCTGGCCGTGGGTAGCAGTGATCCCGGGCGGCTGTGGGTAGCAAGTGGCCCCGGACAGCATGGGCCTGACAGGACAACTTCCACAGGCACCTGAGACCTACAGACATTCCACCCAGGCCCTGCCCTTTCACCTGGCCCACACTGTGTGACACCTGACCCTGCTTCCCCAGTGACCCAGAGTGGCCACTCTAATGGATCCAGAAACCTCAACAAGCGGAGCATCCAGACCTCCACTTGGGAGTTCTAAACCCGCAAGTCGCCTTTTCTCCTCAGTGGCCACAAACACCGGGCCCACTGAGGAGAGATGGCCCCTGCCCACTGCTACGGCTGGAGGCAGGACACCCACCTGCTTCATCCGCAGCTTCCTCTGGCCTGCTGTGTACGAAGGCGGGTCGCATTCCTCCTCCAGGTCAATCCTCATGAACTCATCGATGGTCAGCTGACTGGTCGGGGTGTCTTCAAACTCGGTGAGCCTGAGACATGCAGGTGGTCACGTGACAGCCCAAAGCGGGGGTTTCTCAGAGGGGTGCAGTCATGGGGGGCAGCATGCGAATCTACAAGCAGGCTTCTTGGTCCCTGCCTGGCCCTGTTGACCAGCCAGGCCAGCTCCTGATAGCTGAAGGACTCTGATTAATCTGGTCAACTCTCTACATGTCACAGGATTCTCAAAACATTTACTAGAAGAGATTCTAGCAGGAATTCAAAATGAAAAACAAACAGCTGCTGTCTGCTCTGTGTGTCCAGTGCCTGCGCAGCCTGGCTCTGCAGGTCTCAAGGCCTTGAGGCACCCTCGGTGCACACCTAACCTTTCGGTCAGCAGCGAGCAGGGTGAGCTGTGTGCACTGCCCAGGAGCTTCTAAAGAGAGTGACTGGTGAATGCCTCGAGCCTGCCAGGCAGTGATCCACAACACCTCAAGGCACAGGAGGAACCCCAGCTCCTCTTGCTCAATGGGCTGGACTGTCATGGGCTCTGTGTGGCTGGACAAGGGTTGAGGGGCAACTCCACAACCCTAGCTTCCCACTGAAGCCCTTGGCACTGCTGGTTATCTGCCTACGCAGGCTTCAAGGTCCAGGGTACCCAGGTCAAACCGAACCACCAGCAGTGCTAGGCCCGCTCCTCCTGTGCTACTGCCTGCGGGGGTAGTGGGACATGGACACACGGAGACACACAAGGCAGCCGAGCTTTGAGCATGCTGGGGAGGAGGACCACAATGGATGGATGTGGACTCACAGAGAGACACATGGGGAACCACCAGCCCAGCCCTGAGGATACCGTGCTGACAGGCTCAAAGACCCTGCTCAGAGCTGAGTGCAGGCCTGGCTGAATGCCCTGCCTCAGCAGAGGTCACCACAGGCCTGCTGTCCTGGGTTTGGCAGTGTGTCCCTACCTCTTTCGCAGCGTTGACTCACACACTTTGACCACGCTGATGACCTCCTTGACAGTTCTCCGGAAGTCATGCATTCTGGCCGCAACCAGAAGAGCTGTAGGAGCAAATGACTGGTGACACTGGGACTCAGCAGACACTGGTGGGCACGCCCCATCCACATGGAGGGTTAGCACAGCCCGAGCCCCTGCCACCCATTCATGTCTGCTGCCGATTCACCTGGTGCAGGCCCTGCCATGGGCGCAGCGGGCATTTCCCACATCGCCTTTCAGCAAAGCCACCAGGGCCATGGGTCTCGCCTGGGACTTTAGGGGGGACCGCTTTGGAGGGAGTGGTGGGTAAGATGCCATGGGTCCTGCCTGAACTGAGAGGGAGTAGGTGTGAGACCTGCCTAGGGCTCTGTGGGGGATGATGTGGGTCCCACCTGCATCTTTGGAGGGGTGGCATGGGTCCTGCCCGGGGCTTTCCATGGGACAGTGTGGGTTTCACAGGGGCTCTGACCCTCCCTAGCTCCTCAGAGGTGTCATGGCCACTCAACTGTTGGCCTCTCTGGACTTGCACACTGCCCGGTACATGACACCATGTATGTAAAAGGGTTTGCCACTCCCTGCACTGAGTTGTGGAGTGGCTGAGGGAGGGATAGCAGGTTTAGGGAGAGCAGGGTGGTTCTGGCTGCTGCAGGCCCTGGGGAGCAGGCTATCCCACAGCGAGCCCTGAAGGTGTTCCTGGTGCCTCACAGTTACATGCCTTAAGTACTGGGGACTTTTCACCTCGACATCACATGACAGCACCTCATTCCTTCTTGCCCCACCCCTCTGTGTGCCGTAACAGCGCCACCTCCATCGTAAGGACCCCAATCCGTCACCACATGCCATACAGCATCAAGAGGATCCCTCATACTGTCCCCTCCTCGTAGGTGCCATACCTGGCCACTCCGATCACAGGGCCCCACCCCACCCTGTTCACCTGACACCTGTGCCGGCCCCGACGTCAGAAGGCAAACGCCCCACCTGTGGCTATATTTGGTCCCCCCCCCATGCGAGTCCTTGCCCCAGCCCCCACCCTACGTCTTCTCCACACCTCCCCACTGCCACGTAATAGGAATGTGCGTGCACATTCACACTCACCCCCTCCACATTCACACTCACCCCCTCCTCACCTGCACCGCACAGCCCTGAGGGCCGACGGCCCGTGTGCATCCAGTCTCTCTTCATGCGCTGCAGAAGCCGCAGGGCCGTCATGGACACTTCGTGGTTCTTCTCCCCAAACTCCAGCAGATGGGCGAAGCGTGGGATGTACAGGCAGGGGTCTGCAGCAGAAAGTGCACTCAAGAGCCTGGCCCAGCCATCCAGGGTGCTCCCAGTGTCTACTCCCCATGGCCAATCTCTTCGCTCTTGGCTAGAGTGGCCACTGGGTCAGGAGGTGGCCAGCACCCTTCTTGTACCAGTTTCCTCACAGGTAAATGGGACATAGTCACTGCTCCGTCTGGCTAGAGCCAGAAAACCCTTCTCCAGGGTGGTAGGAGCTATGGACAAGTGTCTTCCAGCATCAGGAAGGAAAGGGTCATCAGCAACCGGACACAGATCAGTCCAGGGCAAAAGCCACACGTGGTCAGTAAACATGCAAAAGCAGGTTCCACCACACAACCATAAAACCAACCAACAGAAGAAACCAAACTGGGGTGCCGAGAAGAACCCCGCCCCTCGAGACCTTCCCAGAGTAAAACCGGTCGGTAAAACACAGCCAGGGCCAACAGCAGTCCACTGCAGGAGCGCTCAGAGCCTGCGTGCACGTCTGCGCTGGCCTCCAGCTCCCCGCCGCCGACAGTGCGGGACAGGGCGCCAGGGGCAGCAGACCCGCGCTCGGTCCCCAGGGCTGCACGCACCAGGGCTCCGCCTTCCAGAAGGACGCCTCGCACCAAGCGCTGCTGCTGACAGCAGTTTCCCTTTAAACACTTGGGCTCGTGAGTAACATCCCATCTTTCTGACGATAAAAATAAAAGTACTGAGAGCGCGCAAAATACAGAAGCAAAGTGTAAGGGCTCCAATCACCCGGGAAGGACAATGGCTGAGACTTGCCGATGACCTGCATGCTACATACGCTGGACAGCACCTGACCCGACACTAGCCTCCCGAGCCAAGGATTTGGCTCCATGGGGCAGCGAGACGCCGGAGCAGCAGCAGGGGGGGCAGGCGGGGCTCTGCTCGGGGGCGGGGC